AATATATATATATATATATATATATATATATATATATATATATATATATATATTATATATATATATATATATATATATATATACTGCATGTGCTCGTGTTTGAGTGTTTGTATACTTATTTTCAACCCTCTTTCTGTGATTACTAGAGTAAAGCCACACTCAGTGTATCTCAGCGCTTACATTACATACATACACATCTCTTAGCTATCCCTTGAAGATTACATCTCTTAGCTATCCCTTGAAGATTACATCTCTTAGCAACTTGTCTGCCTGCTATCAGCGCGTGTTTGTCACACGCGATAATGTGTTGCCACGCCTTGATGCTGATGCTGGGCTCTTGATCCAGAGAGCCGATCTACCCTCTGGGATCAAACCTGTTTACCTATTCCCACACGCTGTAGGACCCCTACTGGGTTCATTGCTTACCCACAAATAATATCAATAATGTATTTTTCATCTTCCTGTCGTCGCCTCTTCCACCGTTACTTTATCTCCCTCTTTATCTTTATCTTTTTGTTTCTTCCTCTCTTCTTATTCCTCACTTCCTGTTTTGGTTTATTCCCACGGTTAGTGCCTACACTCCTACTGTTTTAACTATCTCTCTCTCTCTCTCTCTCTCTCTCACTGACACCATCACTCTACTACTACTACCATTAGCTCAATTCTCTCTCTCCCTCCTCCAGTCACTCCTCCCTCCCTCTCTGCCCTCCTTTCTTCCCTCTCTTTCCCCTCTCTTACAGCAGTCAGGAATCAATATGGTATATGAAGATGTCACGTAAATCCCTCAAACAGTGCAGTGTCAGAGCTAAACATTTGTTGCAAATTTCCCTCAAAACGTGCGCATTTTCTCATTTCATTGAGGTGCGCAGATTTTTGACTGCACTGTCCCGTCCATTTAAAAGACGCAAATTCAGGCGATGTGAGGTTGACTTAAATCCAGGTTCACTTAGATAAATTAATTAAAATGCCCCAAATCAATCATTTTTAAAAATCATGAATCTTAAATAACAAAAAACGGCACAATAACGTGACTGGAACGATTCAGAAATAAACCGCACATACAAGAGAGGAGCTTACGAGGACGTTTCGGACCGAAACGTCGCCGTAAGCTCCTCTCTCTTATGTGCGGGTTGTGTATCACGAATCTTCATCATCTTCGTCTTTTTATTTATTCTATTATTATTATTATTATTATTATTATTATTATTATTATTATTATTATTATTATTATTGTTGTTGTTATTATTTTCAAGCAAGAATATTAACGATATTGCAAAAAAACACAAAGTAATAAAATAATGTTTTACTGAATATCAGTGAGGAAATCAATAAATGCAAATAAATACAGGAAGCGACAAATCCGCAGGGGTTAACAGAGGCTAGGGTAATGAGAGGTACTGAAGTTTGATCTAAATAATAATAATACTTATTTCTACAAGTACATGTACAAGGTATACAGGCCTAACCGACATCAAAGACATATACTACTATATAGCATGCCCCTTGTTATGCTGAGCATTTCGGGCAAATTAGGTCAGTTTTGTCCCAGGATGCGACCCACACCAGTCGACTAACACCCAGGTACCCATTTTACTGATGGGTGAACAGGGTCAGCAGGTGTCTTATGGAAACACGTCCCTAATGTTTTCCAGCCGTACCAGAGGAGATTCGAACTCCGGACCTCAGTGTGTGAGGTGAGTGCGCTAGCGATCGAGCTACAGGACACCCTAAAGTAAGGTAAAGGTCATGAAGGAAGTTGAGGAGGACTAGAAAATGTAGGAAAAAAATAAAAAAAATAGAAGTTGGAAGAAGAAAGCACAGAGGTGAAAACAAGCTAGTGAGAACGGAAGTAGAAACTGGGAATAACGGAAGTGAAATCCAGGAATAACGTAAGTTAAAACTAGGAATAATAGAAGTGATAATATGGAATAACAGAAGCGATAATAAGGAATAACAGAGGTAAAAGTAAACAAGCAATAAAAGTTAAAAAAAAATGAATCAGAGGTGAGAACAATCAAGAGAGGTTGGAACAATCAGAGAGGTGGGAACAGAGAGATGGGAACAAAGAGGTGGGAACAAACAATCAGAGAGGTGGGAACAGAGAGATGGGAACAAAGAGGTGGGAACAATCAAGAGAGTTGGGAACAAACAATCAGAGGGTTGGGAACAGACAATCAGAGAGTTGGGAACAGACAATCAGAGAGTTGGGAACAGACAATCAGAGAGGTGGGAACAAACAATCAAAGAGGTGGGAAGAAACAAGGAATCACAGAGGTGGGAACAAACAAGAGGTGAGAAGAGAAGGTGTACCTCAGAAGTCAAGTGGAGGTGTTTTGGTTGTGTGGGGGGGGGGGGTAGCAAAGATATGTTAATTTAGCCAGTGTTTTATTCACCAAACACACGTCGTAGGGAGAAATAAAAAGACTTAATAAAGTGACAAGAAAGAACAATGGTTGTGGTGGCGGAGGAAGAGTTGAAATATTTACAATGAGAAACTTGCGGCTTGAGAAGTCAACACTGCTCGCCTTAGCTCACTTTCAAGCTTCACCTTAACTCACTTTCAAGCTTCACCTTAACTCACTTTCAAGCTTCACCTTAACTCACTTTCAAGCTTCACCTTAACTTTACAACATTCAACCTTAACTCACTTTCAAGCTTCACCTTAACTCACTTTCAAGCTTCACCTTTACAACACGTCTCACTTGAAACAAAAACACTTTTTTTTTTCCTCCCAGACTCTTGTAGTGAGAAGTGTTCTTTTTTTGCATTCTCAGTTTTAGCATATACACCTTAAAATCACCCCAGACTGCTCTGCTTTACATTTCACTACATTTCGAACGAATTATGTGTAATGAAGCTTAAAAAAAACGCTTCTTCGTAAATATAACGCAACGTGTATAAAAAGGCAGCTTGAAAAAATAGGGAGGCAGGTACATGAGTGGGTGTTGGTGTGAGTTGGACATGCCTAGCATGGGCCAGCAGGCCTACTGCAGTGCTCCTTCATTCTTACGTTCTTAAATGTACCCAGAAAACAGCTGTACACACATTGTGGCTTTGTAGTAGAAAATCTTTAAGAATTAACACCCCTCCAGGTAAAGCCCATTGACAAGACTCGTATCTTAAAAGTAAATACAAATCTAATTTTTTCATTTACAGTAATGTGCCAAAATTATCATTTATAAATATCTTACAAAAGAGTGAAATACAAAACAACTGCATAATCTGTAAAATACAAGAAGTGGACTTCCATTGAGGGAATGCCAGTAGTCTCTGTCCAAGTTGCATGTAAACAAATGTTATATTGATTCTGGAAACAGTAACAAATTAAACCAAAACTGATAACTGATAAATGAATGACTCATGAAATCATAATAACACGATTGAAATAAATTACATAAGTGGTGGGAGATTCGTTTGTAAAAACCTACAACTGTGGTCACAGTGGTGGCCCATGCTAACTTTCTTATGGTATATAGAGGTATACCTAACTGAATGAATCTTGCTAAGCCGGCATGAACCAGTGGATAACACACTGGCCTGAGAGCTTATTAGGACTTGCTTGGCATAGGTTCGATCCCCACCTATTCAGTGATTTGATAAGGGAAAGATCTGAATCGGAACTCCCTCAAATCCCTCAGTCTGTATATACATTGCGTAATGTGAGAAGTGATCCCATGTATACATTGTCATGCAAAATAACCAGTCAAAAAATATTGAAATTCCAAGCACTTCTCGCAATTTCTCACTAATCCTTGATAATGTGAGAAATAACGAAATCGCTTGAAATTTCACTATTTTTTCACTGTGGTTATTTTGCATATTGTGATATCACCTGTTTACTGTCATCTTACTACATCACTGTGTGTCATTTGAGAAGTGATCCCATGTATACACTGGACAGAGCCAAGTTTTTGGACTGGACTATACAGCAACAAGATAAACCTGTTAGTACAGACGGAGATTATGATCTTTTGTTTGTCCAATTGTAAACACACAACCTGTTTTTACAAACAAAGAATGTAACACCCACGAATGTATGAAAGACACTTGTGAAACGTTAGGTAACTTTATAATAGAAACGTTTCGTCCGGATTATTACTCGAGTAACGGATAAATCCCACGGTGAGCGAAACGTTTACGTAATAGTTATATAACATCTCATAAGTGACTTTTTATATATAAGATCGTTCTTAATCTACGTAGAAGTACATAGTTCTCAACAGACAGCCTCGGTGTGGACTTTCCAAGACCCATACTGTCTTTCCCATGTACTCTTTAAGGGTACCCAGTACCAAGTACTCTGCACACTAATCCTGAGTCCAGGTAACTTACATAATTTTGTTATAGAAAAGCCATAATAAGTTAAAAGAGGTAATGTCTATCTTCCAAGCGTAGACTGTATCTTGTACAGCATAGCATTAGACTATCAACACATTCCATGGCTGAGCCAGCCAGGTAATGATCATTTATAATTTAAGAGTGGTTCACTGACAATAAGTAGGAGCTTAACACAGTAGAAGCTTGTAGTTGTGTATTGTAAAGTCAAGTTATTCTGTTGTATGTGGCTTGTAACTCTGAGTAAATCTTGAGCTCGAAATAGAAGCTTTTCAACTGGGGTATTTTTGTAAAGCTCCTCTATACAGTATGGTTTCTGTTAATGTCACTGAAGAAGCGCATGCAAAATTGAATAACATTTACTATGAAGGCTCTTCCATCCTCTATTCAATTTTGGATGTACTTGTTTCAAATGCACTTACAAAAAAAAAGTTCACTGTATAGAGGAGATTTATAAGAGAATTGACTGTATATCTTTAATATCGGTCTTCATATCTTGGAGTTCTAATATTCAGGTAAATATTGATATATAAAATGTTTTCTTGACACTCTTCAAGTAGCAGGTATATGTAGCATAATGTATAAATCTGTTACTAGTTTAAGTGCATTGTGGTGTTTACGATGTATTGATTGTTAGTTGTGACTCTGTAATTCTCTAATTCTAGGTTCCTGCCCAAAGATGTCTCCATTAGATGGGCCTGGTCTGTTTATATCCTCTTTAATTCTGTTTGTTGTGTGCTTATATAAAGAGTGGACAATATCTAAAATCACACACACACACACACACACACACACACACACACACACACACACACACACACACACACACACACACACACACAAACCACACAGGCCAAGTGTTTATCGACAAGTGTCATTGACAACTGCTAACTAACACAGTGTTAAGGGGTCATTTACAAACGTGGTAATCTCCACACTTAATGTTTTTATTGCAGTTTGAGATGACATGAATGATGGTTGTCAGTGTTCAACTGGATTCTTACAGCTTTTTACTTTACAAATTTAGACTATGTTGTGCTTATTAGTGGGCAACGCGTGTTAATGATTTCTAGAGGCTATATTAATGACTGTGACAAGATTCATTTTGCCATTTATTTGCACCCAGTTTGGATAGCAAGCTATATCCCAGAGTGTTTCACTCACAATATAAAGGAGCCAGGTTCGATCCCCGGTGGTAGGGATCAAGTCTCGGAGAATAATCTCACCGCTTCTCATTTTACAACTTTGCTACTAGTAGACTGAGAGACACCAACCAGCCAGCAAGGTACAACCGCCCAGTCATATGGCTGTAAAACGGATGCCTATTAAATATTTTGCACTCTGGCAAATATCAGATCCTTTCTGTCTCAGACTTACAGTACAACAGGTAAACTGTATAGATATCTACCTACAAACAGTAAATACTAATTACTTTCATGTGGGTTTTTTAATGGTTCTAATTCCTGTAATATTTGATTTCTAATTTAGGAGGACCGGTCTGAGGCCGTGCCGCGGGGGCGATGATCCCTTACCTGCAGTCTACCTGGAGGGTATTCCCGGGATCAACGCCCCCGCGGCCCGGTCCACGACCAGGCCTCCCGGTGAATCAGGGCCTGATCAACCAGGCTGTTACTGTTACACAGGTTAGAGTTCACGCCCCCATGCCTCCTTGTTTCCACAATCTATTATGTTCACAAAGCTGTCAAATCTCAGTTTATATTGACAGTAGTGACGGACATATGTATTAAACGTCACCTTGAAAACAGTGGGGTTAGGAAGCGTGCACAACGTGATTTATGGCGACAACAGAGGCCGGTGATGGCGACTTACGAAACAAGGCGACCGACAGGTTAAAAGTAAAGCACTCCAAGACTTTGTTTCGCTCAATTATGAGCGAAAAATTTAAGATAGAGGCTTGTTTTTGAAGTTTTAGTGGCGTAGAATGACAGCATTCTCTGCTCTTATGAAACATAACATTCCCTCCAAAGATAGTCTATCTGATTTACACATAACAATGTCTAAGTTTAAGTCATCCTAACTTGATATGTTTTCAGCGTAAGCCTTGCCCGGTCTATCATACTAAACTGACTAATCAACAACTTGAAATATACAATACACTTCTAAAATTAAACTTTTTAAAGATTGAGTGCATCTAAAACGCAGATATTTTTAAAGATTCAAACCACCTAAAACGTAAACATTTTTAAAACTCAAAGCATCTCCCGCTTAACCATTTCCAGCAAAGCCTTCCATCACTTAGATATTTTCGAACTGAACAGCCCCCAAACTTTGAAATGTCCCCAACAATAACATTACCCAACGCACACATCCCCAACTCTTAAATAAATCACCCAACAGACACAATTAAAACAAGAGATTCGCTAAGCTAACACCAATTCCCAAACACCCTCAGAATTATGACCCCTTTCACAATACTCGCCGAGGAATTCATTTCATCACAATGCCCTGTCGACGTCGGTTCTCTGGGCAAAGCAAATAAATCCATCTACCAGTCAAATTATACAGAAGACACTGTACACCAAACACATGAAAAGCGCCGCACTGCCTGCTGTTACCGAGGCCGGGGTGGGTGGGGGGGGGGACAGGAGGGTGGGAGGAAGCAGGACGAGGGAGGGAGGGAAGGAGGGTGGGAAAGAGTTAAGGGAAAGAAGGGAGGCGGAGGCGGTGACGGTGGCGGAGGCGGTGGCGGTGGCAGAGGCGGTGACGGTGGCGGTGGCGGAGGCGGAGGCGGTGGTAGTAGTGGTGGTATTGGTGAAGTAACAAGAGGAGATTAGAAGGACAAGGCGAGAAAGCACAAGGAGGAAAGGAAGAGGTAGGAGAGGTGGTGTTGGTGGAGAAGAGAAAGAGGAAGACTAGGACGTGTTGAAGCAGCAGAAAGGAAGGACAAGGGCGAGTTGGAGGAAGAATAAGAGGAAAAGAAGTTGAAAGAGGATAACGAAGAGTTGGAGAAGGAGAACCAGTTGGAAGAGAAAGATGAGGAAAAGAAGCAAGGAAGAGGCGGAGGAAGGGTTATGGTCAAGTTAACCTGGGTTCTCCGGGAGGAGGAAGGGAAGGGGTGGGGTATGAGTGTCTTAGAGATACATTTCAGCTTGTTTTTGCGTCCCTTTCGGCTTGTTGATAGAATTCCGGCGAGAAACTGCACCAGTGTGTGTCTCGGGGGGTAAGGTTATTGGCTGGCGCGACCGAGAAGCCATTTTTGTCGACTTTTAGCGATAATTTGGAAAGACGTACACTCATGGGTTGCAGCGTGGGCCGTATGGTGCTGCGTCTACTAGCAATTCTTTTAACGACGCCATCAACAGTACGACGCTTCCTAGTAACCTAAAACTCAAGGAGAAAAAGACGTAAAAAGAATAAATCACCTCTGAATGTGTTTATTCCAAATAATATTGTCATTTTCTGGAGATGTTATATCCTCCTCCTCCAAGATTTTTCTTTCCGACAGTATGTAACGGCTTGACAAAGCTCCTGGAGAGCGAAACGTTGCCACAGTAAAATATCATATTAGTTGCACTTATTTCCTTTTACTTAACATTTTTGTTTCCACTGTGTAAATTCCTCCTGGTCAGGAAGAAACTTACCCAAGTTTCCCCTATACCTGGTATGTTCTTCGCCCGATAGAGAAGAGGTATCTATACAATTAGTATAATGGTAAACAATAACGACAGGTAAATGAATAAGACACATGTACAAAACTTGGGTATCTTTACAAACAAATAAACTTCACACAAATAACCCGCACATACGAGAAATTTATGACGGCGTTTCGGTCCGAGTCAGACCGAAACGTCGTCACAGGCTTCTCCTCTGTGCGGGTTATCTGTATACTGTTCCAGTCACGGTATTGTGCCTTTTCATTCTTTACAAAAAGCCCCTTATTATGCAAGACATTTTCGAAACGTTTCGCCCATGTCTCAAAACTACAAGCTTGATAGACTGATCACAGCTTTACCTCCCCACCACTACTCTCTCCCTATTTAGTCACCTCTGTATTCGACTGAAGAATCCTACTGTGTAGGCGAAACGTTTCGGAAATAGATACCATAGTGTTGCCCAGGTACCTGAGTGTTGCCCAGGTACCTGAGTATTGCCCAGGTACCTGAGTGTTGCCCATGTACCAGTGTTGCGCCCAGGTACCCGAGTGTTACCCAGGTACCCGAGTGTTGCCCAGTTCAGTTCCTCCTTCCTCTCATTTTCTCATTCCTCTTACGTTCTTGTTCCTGTCACTTCCCCCACACCTTCTCACTTTTTCCCTCACTTTTCCCCTCCGCTCTTTTTCCCCTCCCTCTCACTTTTTCCCCTCCCCTCTCTTTCCCCACCCTCTCTTTCCCCACCCTCACTTTTCCCCTCCGCTCTTTTTCCCCTCCCCTCCCTGGCTCTCACATGGTGTTGTGTGTGTGTGGCTGAGGGAGGCGCGGAGGTAAGACGGGAATACTGCTTCTCTTTTATTGTTTTGTTTCCATCTAAACGTCACTAGTTGTGGTTTCTTTTAGATTGGATCTGTTTCTTAGACTTTATGTCTGGTTTTAATGGTCTTTAATGGTCGTGGAGGTAATGTTTTACGCTCGTTTATCGCTGTTATAAAGCGATGCGCAGCTTCGCGGGCGCGAACCAATTTATGTCTTGTCATGCGGCAGAGGTTAGACTGCGCACGGTATAGGTGGCCGCCGCCGCCGCCGCCATCATGAGCTGACATGTGACTCATCAATATTCTCAGTAAGCGAGTAAAGATGACATGACAATGTGACGATCACAGAGAAACAATCAACCCGTTGCACTCAGCTACCCTCCAGATAACAGTGGAAGACTTGCTCCCGACCGCCGCCTGGCCCCCGTTCATTTTATCGCCAATCAGATCTGGGCATTAAGACTATTTACTGCGGCGTTGTGTATATTTATCGGTCTCAAGCCCTGACTTTCATTGAGGCGAGTTTATTTGTGGGCCAACTGGTGATTTTGAGTCTTATGAACAGCTTCTTTTAGGGTCATTTACCTTGTAGACAATTGTATAATGCAAAAAAAAAAAAGCTCGCTCAGTGGTGTCCCTCAGTCTTCCGGGCGAGATGGTCCTCTACAGCAATCGTAAATTAGGTTCAGTTTTGGCCCCTATATAACAGCTGTGTAAGGATGAACATTGCAAAAGAGGAGACACTAAATCCGACTCAGACGATAAAAAAAAAAAAAGAAAACTCATATTAAAACCGACTTGAGACATTTTCAAACCTTGCTCTGCAGAACGAGGCAGGTGTAACACACTCCCTTAAGCACGATTTTTACATATGTTTGCGAGCTTGTCATTCTGAAGATCAGTGAAAACTAGCAGGTCATGTGACGAAGACGTGGTAGGAGAGGTCGACTAGAAGGCAGGCTCTCGGGTCACCTAGAATGTCTGGTCATGGGTGGAGGTGGATTCCCTCGGTGGGTGAAAGTGCATTGCAGGAGCGCCTCCGTCCTGCCCCCCCCCCCAGGTCTAGTTTTGTAACACTGTTGAGAAAGATTTTTGATTCTTGCCCCTTCGCATTGCTTTCTTCTCGTCTGCCATGTCAAAATACTACCTGAACGCGGTATTGTCGACACTTAAACCGGTATTGTCGACACCTGAACCGGTATTGTCGACACCTGAACCGGTATTGTCGACACTTGAGCCATAGGCGTTCTCTCTCCCTCAGCAGAGTGTAAC